TTTGCTTCACTTTGGCGCCAATCGTGAGCTCTGATTGCGATGTGTTTTGTCTTTCAGTCAAAGAGTTATTTCTTTTCGATGTCTTCGGGTTTGCAGACAAACAACGAATTGATATGAAATTCAATTTCTGTTTGTTTTGATTCAAACATATATTGAGACAAATGTTTGTACTTTTGTGGCATAAGTTGGACAACAGTTTCAATTGAATCCGTAATATATTTGACATCATTTTCGCATTCAATTCAATCGATGAACAAATCAATTCAAAACAAACTGACTGTCAGTATGTGAGACATTCACTCATTCACTAAACCTGTTGTCTCTTTCGCACACAACATATCATTCATAGATTGATAGTGTATTCCAAGCGCTCTCTCTTACTCTATAACTCATTCACTTCTCTACACAACACTTCATTCATACTTCACAGCCATTCATGGCCTCTAATGTAGTGCAGAGAAATCAACACTTTATATAAAGGGGTTAAAAATAGGTGTAAAACACAACTAAATAAAAGTGTAGATTTGAATTGAATACAGTAATACCGTATAACAGTAACAGTTGATTGACACTTGAGTACAGATTCTGTACTACAGAATAAAGAATTTGCATAAATTGTAGTATAAGTACCATGGTAGAAATATATGAATTACTGTAGCATAAAATAATTGAATGTATGCAAAATGAAATGCTTTTATTTATTTAAAAGAAGTTTAAAAAATTATAAACAAACAAATATTTACATTAAATGTGAAAAACATATAATAAATGAAACAATTCATTAAATATTTAAATATAATATTCTTATTTTGATAGCAAATGATAAAAATCATGAAAAACTTTATTACACTAAAATGAAATGTTTTTATATTCATATTACTGTTGAATTTGAATTGATGTCATATTTTGAATGTATTGATATTTAGTTATAATTAGAAAACTTTAGGTTTCGATTGAAATGAGAAAATAATTTAATTGAAGTTTATGTTGACTCGTGTCCAACGTATGAATGAAAGTCACAGTAATTGTAATGCAATGTAAATAAAATTCTCTAAAACTGTTTCAATACATTATTCAAAAGATTACATTTGGCTAATAATCATATCAAAAATGTCACAAAATTAACAAAAGTTTGTCTATTAATACATTCAATAGATTTGTATATTTATAGAAATATTTACATTTACAGCAAAATTAAGTCACATTTAAATGTTAATTATTAGACATTAATTGCAAACATGATATGCATTTCTAACATAAATTCATATGTTTTAGCAAATATTTATATTATATTCAATTTAATTAAAGGCCAAAATCTGCTCAAATTTGCGTCAATTTTGTATTAGAATTAGAATTGAGATTATTTTATATGTTTGTAACCCAGTTACAATTAAGTAATTATTGGTTCAATTACGGTATAATCATTAGTTTAGGTAATAACGACTACATGTCATAGAAATTGTTGTGTAATTAAAAGTTATACATATTGTAGCACAATGTATGGTACAGTAGAGCCTAACGATTAATGTTTGGAATATTGTATTGTTTTACTGTATTTACTGTTAATTTTGAGTCACAAACACATCGCATATGAAAATCACATCATTTATAATGAATAATAAAATCAATGAAAAGAAAGCATAACTCATAGGAAAGAGAGGCACAAAAATCGATTCTCATATAAATTCAATTAATTCATGACTTTAGCGGATGTTTCAGACAATAGTTTAGATTTGAGACTAGAATTAGACCAAAAAAGGGACACCAAGACATCAACATCTCATTTAAATGACTCATTGAATGCATTTAGAAATACTATTCAAATAGATTTTAGGCACAAATCATTCGTTTGAAGTCATATATACTGTATATATATTGCCATTAATTCATTCAATTATTAATATTAGACTTGAGCTGCAAATCAATGGTTGGATTTTACATATAAAACAAATAATGAGGAACTTTACCACCAGTTCTGCTGCCAAAACGCAAATATTGAGTTCATTATTATCCATTGAATCAAAATGTGTTGACAAACAGTTTGTACTGACGATAATTTGGCCCAAAATTAATCATAATGTGAGTGAAGACATGATGTATGAGTAGAGGTATCCCTTCATTAGTTGGTGTAGTTGTCGAACGAACTGATGTACTCGAGTGCCGCTCTGTAACAGAACTGGTACTGGTCTTCGGTCTGAACCATACCTGGCCTTTGGGTTCGCAATGTTCTCACTGTTTGGAAGAGATCGGCCACACCTTCGTTCTGGAGGCGCTCTAATACTATACTCATTGTTATGAAAACCCCGGTTCGGCCGACACCAGCACTGGAATTACACGTCAAACCATTTGTTAAATAAATTCAACGCATAGAGAAGCGGTTGCAAGACATACCTGCAGTGGACAGCAATGGGGCCGTCGTGTCCGAACTGCTCTTTTGTTTTGTGCACTTGAGTTATAAATTCAATGAACCCGTCGCCAGACTTGGGAACGCCCTGTTCGGGCCACTCCACGAAATGGAACTGACGGATCACTTTCGACTGGCCGTCCTATCCATACAAATGACAGTTCATTAGCTATGAATGGCGCACACGGCGCACCCAAATGCATGCAAACATACCCGTGCGTCAGTGATTTTGAATTCTCTGAGTATATACTGAGGCATATTATACTCAGTGATGGGGTCGACCACAAAATACAGGTACCTCTGCGAGCGTTCTAAAGGCCAGTATTGGTGACACTTTTCGCGTCCCATTTCCTTGAGTTTGGTTAAAATGACGACAATATTTGAATTGTGTTCCCAAAGCATTCGCCAGAAATCTTCAGTGGTCTCCTGGAGGGGTCCCTGAGTTGCGATATAAGCGCTCCGGTATTTATAGCCATCAATAAAGCTGGCGTTTATATAATCGGATCCCTCGACTCCTCTGAGGGGCTGTAAGAAGACTCGCGTCGACTCATACGGCAATATATTCATGAGTCGGTTCTTAAACTTATTGACGGGAAGGTTAGCACTGATGAACTTATTGACCACAGTCTTCATCGACGCAATCTTCTTGAACTCCAACTCCATTCCAGTGATGTTTTCTCCGGGAACCACTTGCATCAGCAGTTGGATGTGGTTATAGAGACTGCGGGCCGACACCTCTGTGTTGCCGGCAATCACTGCCTCGAGTACTGCGTCGTGAATGAAGATATACTGATCCTCCGTCTGAACCGTATAATTGCGTTGAGCTCTCAGACATGTCACGTGACCGTAGATGTCGATCGTGTTCTCGTATTTGAGTCTTTCGAGCATTGAGTCGATTACAACATAACAACCCGTCCGGCCTTTTGGGGCATTCATTCAAAACCAATAAGTATTCGCTTATTAAACAAACAAATTATAACATACCGACGCCCGCAGAGCAATGTATAATGAGAGGACCAGCTTCTGGTGGATTCATAGTCCGGACTCTCCTCAAGAACATGAGGAAGGGGGTCGGGTGGTCGGGCACGCCGTGGTCGGGCCAAGCAGTGAACTGGAACTGTCGTACTTCTCGTGTATCCACATAACCGGTTCTCTGCAAACTGAATGTTCGGATGCAATACGAGGCCAACTCCTCATAATTAGTGAGCGTTACATGCATTACACCATACGATTCAGTGCCACGCGATGGCCAGTATTGGTCGCACTTTATACGAGTCCTCTCTTCCAGTTTAGTCATCATAACAACGGCTGCACTCCTCTGCTCCCAAACCATTCGCCAGAAATCGCCTGAAAATTCAATGTTTCATATATTTTCAGAGTAAATACAATTCAATGAATGAATTGAAATACTAACCAAAAGTCTCGGGCAGTGGTCCCTGAGTAGCAATGTATGCATTTTGTTTGCGATATCCGTCACAGTAATTGGCGTTAATATAGTCAGAGCCGGGAGTGCTGTCCAGGGGCTGGAGAACGACTCGGCTGTGGTCATAGGCGATCACATTGGCGTACCTGTTCTTAGGTTTGTTGAACTCGATGTTCGAGTTATCCCAAGTGAACTGCTGTCCCGGCTCTATAGACTCGTACTCTTGAGAGAACTTCAGGTTTTCCGATGTTTTCAGGCGCTCGATATGGTTGGCCAGCTCTGTGACCGGAATGGGCGGATGACTCATCATCGCTGGCGTCTGATAGTTCAGTCGACGCAACTCTACCGGATCTGATGGATGAGTCGTCATATCACGTGGTTCTGCGGAACTCAATAATAATTTCATTGTAGTGTCCGCTGCGGGAGTTTTGACGAGTTGTCGACGTCTGCGAGCAATAAAATAGGAAATAAGTCTTCGAAAGCATCGTTTTCCTGGAGTTAAATACCTCTTAATAATGCAAAACCCGACGGACATAACCACTAAAAGAATGGCCAATACTATGGATAGGATAAGAATAGCGCCCGACTTATCGCCAGCTCGAGTGACTGGAACTCTATCTCCCGGTCGATCTGTTGGCTGTGACTCTGTCTGCTGAACATTAATACTTCTTCCGTGTCCTTCAGCCGTAATCGCTTCCAAACTCAATACATCAGAAAATGGTGAACTCGTGAAGAGGCTCTGAAATGATAACAAATTATGAATTGCAATGCATTTGCTTTGTCTGATTGAAAGCACTAACCTTTATGGGAGTGTCGACAACGGCTCGAATGAATATATGGTATAAAACGCCTTTAATTAGTCTTCTGTTCACAAATCCATTGTATTTCTGTCCGTCACCCAGAGAGAAGGTGTTGGGAATGGCTCTTCTCATCCATTTGGCGGCAATATAGGGACCGATTCGGTCACTCGGTGTCGAAGACAAGTCTTCTATAGAATACTTGTCGGGCTCTTTAGTGGCGAAGTCGTGCGGAACGACTACTAAATAGTAATGACTGATAGGGCCGTACTCTTCGGAGGCTTGCGGAAGGATTACTGTAATCTGTTGTTTGTTTTGCGATTCAATGGAATCGGGTTTAACCATAGGCTTAGGCGCAGCCATAGCTGTCGTAACAGTGATTTTGGCGGGCGGTCGGAACGACTCGTCTGATGGGACGGCCGTTACGTTCACTTGATATGTAGTGAATGGCATCAAAATATTGACTTTATATTCGGTAACATCTGATGAGACGTAAATGGATTCCGGACTGATTGGCAGCTTTTGAAGAACTCCCTGACTGTCGTAGAATTCTTTGTGAGAACCATATGTTATCTTATACTTAATTGGTTCCAATTTTTTGGGTGCCTTCCAACTAAGTGTCATGGTATGAGTGGTCACGTCGAGCGCCTGTAGGTTTAGTGGAACGTCAGTGGGATCTGTTCTAACAGTTATTAATTCGGAAAGTCGTCCCAATCCCTGATTAGTATAGGCGGCCACTCGTATGGCATACATGGTCTTAGGCTCTAAGCCTGTAATAGCTGCCGACCACGTGAGCGACACTTCTTTTCTATACCACAGATCGAGATCTTCGACAGGCGTTTGTGAGTATAAGACATGATAACCCAATATATCATTGAAGAATGGCATCTCATCCCACCAAACCTCCACAGATGTCTCGGAAGTACTCAACGATTGCACGTTTGTTGGCGCCGGCGGAACGTCTCCCGGAGTTTGCATTTGGATTCGATTACTCCACGGACCCGCTCCTCGACTTGTATGAGCTCTCACTCTATAGACAACACAATAAGACAACAATTAATTCAAATCTAACACCAATTCATTCATTCAAATCCTACCGAAAAGAGTATTCAGTGTTTTCATCCAATGAACTAAAAACCATTCGAGTCTGAGATGTGTTGTATTCGTTTGGCGATTGATCCGATAGTTTGTGGAAATGGATTCCATAACCGGATATTTTGCCGTTTCTGTACTGAGGAAGGGGTGGATCCCAATTCACAACAACTGTAGTCGGACTTTGCAAACGGTTTGTAAGGTTTTGCGGTGGAGCTCGTGGTATACCTTCTGGTGTCTCGACATATGCTACAGATTCCTGACCCCAACCAATCACATTACTGCCTGCAATGCGGAACTCATATCTGGCCCCTCTGTCCAAATCCCTTATAATTCTGTGCTGTTCTTGCGGTTCAATTTCCATCTCCTCTCTGTTGGGACTATCGATTCGTCCGTATTTTAGTTTGTATTTAATTAGCTGTCCGTAGGTGTGATTGGGTCGCGACCACTGCACCTCTACACTCATCTGTGGCTCGTCTTGTAATAGTCGGATCAGAATATCAGGTCTCGATGGAACGCCCCCTAAAGTGCGTACGTTTGTCGAGCGACTACGAGTGCCGTCCCCTTTACGAGTGACAGCAGCCACTTGAATGGCGTACTCAGTGTCGGGCTGCAGACCAGTCACGTTATAGTCCTCTGCCATACCGTCGGCCACATCGTATCGAATCGGATCGTTAATCAGATCCCCGTTTGCATTGATTTCTTGAACATGTATTTGATAGCCTCTAATCAAACCATTCTGTTCCTTATGAATGGGTGCCAACCATTCAACCAATACTGCTGTGCTGTTTATAGGGCCTCCCTTTACATCTCGAGGTTCACCCGGAACTGTCAAAAGTATACCATTTCATTAACATTTGCATAAATAATTATAGAATTAACTAAAGCTATTGCATTATAGTATACTTTTCACAGAATAGTTTCGCCACAAAGTATAGTATTTTTAAGTCTGAAATATTATGTGATATAAAGAGCTTTGTATTAAAAGATTATTTTCATAATTTAACAAAAGCTAAAATTGTGTTAAGAAATGGATTAGTATTTGGAAATAAATGATATTAAGTTAAAAATAACTCAATTTCGACGACAATTAGTGTCAGTGAGAAGACGATAGAAAAGAGCTGAGAAGCCAAACAAGTGGACGAGTGGTGAGCCCTTACCGTCTTCGTCGGTCCGCACAATAATGTGTGCAGAAGCGGGTCCGTCGCCTAACACTGTGCCCGCAATCACTGAAATGCGATAATTAGTCCATTTGTTGAGATTTCTGAGTACAACTGAGTGCTCATTTGCGGTTACATTAGTTTCGGACTTTTTAGAGGGGTTTATATTATCTTCATAATAGATAACTTTGTAGTAAGTAATGGTTCCGTGATGTTTGGGAAGGGGTGGGGGTTCCCATTCAATTCGCACGCTTTTCGAGTCTATTGCAATACCGTGCACTTGTTGTGGAGGGGCTCCGGGAACTACAGTTTGGGATAAATCAATCAAATGGTG